ATCTTGCAAACAACACATTTCTTTGTCACATACCGGCTATGGTTTGAAACCACATCTTCGCTTTGGTGCTCAATGTTTGCTCGACTAACTTAAAATAGTCTTGGAAACAACCACACTGGAGTTTGCATGAAACAAACAAGGTTGTAGAACATGCTGTCTGAACAACTGTCTGAAGCAGTTTATAGCTGCTCTGAATAACCATGCTCGAAGGTGGGGTGAGAAACCTGCCGTCATAGAGAACGATGTGACATGATAAGAACTCATATATGGGGATAATGGCGCACAATCTTTCCTTGAAGGCGTTCGTAGTCTTGTACTCAGGAAAGATCAAGGAAGTAGCCGTGCGAAGGACGATGAAAGAAGAGACAACTTCAAACCCTGTTTACTTTCTCATCTTCCCACACCTGACGTTTCACTGTGTGAAGCTGGTGTCAGCGTGGTATTGTTGGTTCAAGAGTTACAGACATTGTCAGATGCTGCCCCCCTCCGATCCCAGCGTCAGAGAGTGTGGGGGGAGGGGATTTCAGACACACTTTTCCACCAGCCAGTCAGCAGTTCAGTTGAATCATGTGGAGGCACAAAGTTGTGATAGCTCAGCTGGTTAATGTTAAAGGCTGTGGGTTCGAATCCTGTCTGTAACTGTCTACACTTTGTACAGACACATGTTTACAACAGAACTGTACACTGAGGAAAGAGCAGGAAGAAGAGGAAGAAAGGTAGGAAGTTATAAAATAAAAAAGAAAGGAAGATGGAGAGAGGAGGGAAGGAAGAGGGGAGGGAAGGTAAGGAGATAACAAATGAAAGAGGAAGGCAGAAAGGATGACAGGAAGAAATGACAACAAGAAGGGAAAAAAGAATGAAGGGAAGACAGAAAAAATAATTAGGATATTAAGAAAGAAGGAAGGAAAACTAAGACGGGGAGGAAAAAAGGAAGAAAAGAAGGGAGGAAAGAAGGAAGAAGGATTGATAGATGAGAGAGGAGGGAATGAATGCAGAAAAGAGGGACAGACAGAAGGAATCCGAAGTTATAGTAGTTAATGATACAGAAATGGAAAAGTCTGCGCTTTCTGTATCTGATCTTTCCATTTTATTTTTCTTCTTCTAAAAACGACTCGCACACCCTGTCATTGGCTGACCACACACACACGCATGTATGTGCGTGCATACACTCTCTCACACACACACACACACACACACTCAGTCTTCCCAGTTTGCTTTGTGTTTAGTTGGTTTTATTTTCAGTCTGCGATTCTTCTCTAGTATTTAGTCCAACAGTCGGCAATTTATAGCCATAATTACAGTCTGTCAGAGAAAGACACAGAGTATGAGCTTTCATGCTGTGGCTTACATTCTTGTGTGTATGTGTGTGTATGTACTGTATATGTGTGTGTCTACTCCTCTACTCTTGGCATATTTAGGTCATGAAAGTGAATATATTAATATGGACATTACTGGTTTACACACACACACACACACACAGTCTTCCCAGTGGGCTTTGTGTTGATGCCTTTTGTGTGAATGTGTTTAAAGTTCTCTTATGATGTGTTCTATTTTCATAATCTCCTCTGATTGGACAGATTTATACCTTTTTTTTCTTCCTGACTGGACAAATCCATTTTCATAGCGTGTGGAGGGGGCTCCAGGTCGCCAGGATAATAGAAAAGACCCAGAGAACAGTATATGTTGGATGACTTCCTAGGTTGTTCCAGTGGTCAGTCTGTGTTTCTGTCAGTCTGTCTCCACCACTGCACATTTAAATTATGTGTCTCAGTTTGAATTTGACTGTGCTGTTACTTGACAGAAAGGCTTTCCTGGACAGTAATACATTGTCAAAGTTGATATTAAAGCAAGCAGCAACTTCCAGGACTGAAAAATGAAGCCAACGTGGAAGTGCTAAAAACTGCAGTTCCTTAACGGCCACTTGAGTCTGGCTCCAAAAGTGAGTCAATCCCCATAGACTCCCATGTTTAAATGTCCAACTTTACAGCAGGGATAAACATGTTTACAGCCTGGTACAAAAAATGGTTTTGGTCTCTACAGTTAAGGCACTGCCAAGTCAGGCACTGCCAAGATGGCGATGGTGAGGCAGCTCACTCTGAGCTTCAAAACCGCTCTTCAGAAACCTGCGGGTGACGTCATGGAGGCTACGTTCATCTTTATACACAGTCTATGTATTAAAGGGATAATTTATTAATTTGCTTTTGTTGCCGAGAATTAAATGAGAAGATACCACTCTCAAGATGGAGAAATATGAAGCTGCCACCAGCAGCTGGTCAGCTCCCTATCAACACTTCTAAAGCTGAAATTGTACAATTTGTCTGTCTCCAGGAAGTTACTGCGCCCAGCTAGTAGAAATAGAAAGAAATAATCCAACGCACAACACCCACTAAAATCACAATTTGTCATTTCATGTTCCTCCACCATGGGACGTGGTACACAGGTATATGGTATGTGGTATATGTCAAGGAATATGGTGTCTGCGACATATCAAAAATGTAATGGACCTCTATTCACCTTTATTTCACTTTGTAACTCTCCAGGTGAGGAAGAGGAGTTGGGACCTCCCCCCTCAGTGGATGAGGCGGCTGATGCTCTGATGACCAGGTTGGGCTTCCTGCTGGGGGACAAGATAATCGGTGGAGAGCCGGGGTCCCCTTACCACGCCCAGGACGATGGACAGGTAGACAACTCACTCACAGATGCATACTTGCGTTATACTTTCTGCATACATGACTACGTAAGGGTCAACTAGGGTCTGTGTGATGTAAATTTCATCAACAGAGGGTTTATGTGAAGCTCTGTGCCCTCCAATTTGTTGTTTCAGCGTGGACTTATCCGTCCCAGTCCATGCAGCCTCTGGACTACAAAGAAGTATGATCACAACAGCTATGCGTCTGTGTTGTCTGTAGTATAATTGAGGCCTAACACGTATCTAGATTGTCTTTAGTGCTGTTAACTTGTAAAACAGAAAATGTAAGTGTCCTTTTGCACATTCAGATTTGTAATTTTTCAGTAGTTACTGGTTATGTTTAATGATACAGTCTGTTGTCTTTCCCACAGAGGATCTCTCCGTCCTCCAGTCTGGCCAGCAGCAGCACCTCCCCCTGTTCCACACTGCAGCGCCCTGCTGGAGAAGAGGGCAACAACAACAACAAGCATGCCTCCTCCACCCACGCCTCTGTCACCTCCCCCACCTCAACACTGGAAAGCAGAGACAGCGGTATCATAGGTGAGATACAGAAGATACACTTTTTTTTCTTTTTTTTTTAAAGAAACCCTTACACTGCTAAGTTATTAACTTTTTCTGTCATCCCTTCGCTTTTTCTTTCAGCCACCTTGACCAGCTACTCTGCAGAGTCGGCGGCAGAGCAGGACAACAGCGCCAAATACTCAGGCGATGGTTACCATGGGAGCAGCCTCAACCTCTGGCAGCAGGGGGGCCGGACGGTGGTGGCCTCAACCTCCTCTTCCTGTATGGTAGCAACAGGAAATCCGAATGACGGCTTTCTGTACAGGGTGGATGACAACATGGCTGCCTCCACTTACAGCCTCAACAAACTCCACCCAGACCGAGGTCCTGGCGCTGCCCGCTCTTCAGGCTCCACCCACTCCATACCTCTCTACCTCATGCCCCGCCCTAATTCAGTGGCAGGTAAAATGGCAAATGGATGATGTGTTTGGGGGTGTGTGTGTGTGTGTGTGTGTGTGTGTGTGTCTGTGTGTGTGTGTGTGTGTGCGTGTGCGTGTGTGTGTGTGAATCAAGATGTCTCCAGTCCTTGAGTGCGCTCCCACACACTCTTTCCTGTTAGGAAGGAAACACATCATTCTTTCTCGACTACAGTGAGCTTACCAGTGATAGTAAGTAAACAAAGACTTGGTAATAATTCCATGATAATTATGTGTCCACTATTATATTCTACCACTCTACCAGTGTTGAGTGTTGTTAGCTTTTACATTCTTTTCCACCTGTACAGTTCAGGATAACAACTTTTGAATATTTATGAATGTTAAATCTTTTAAGACTGATTGCAAATGGAAAGTATGCCCAAACCTTAAATGGTGATAACATTTTGTTTCTGCTGCCACCCAAGTGGCAAAAGTTATTGCAGTTGTAAAGGTCCCATGTTTCACACTTCTCTTGTGTTTTATTTGAAGTGTTGATCCATAAGAAGATATATTTATGGTTTTAAGAACCAAAAACCATCTCAATGTAGTTTTACATCTCCTCTCTCAGGCTTCTTTCTGAAGCTCTAGTAACAACATGTCAGTGAGCCAATCAGAAGAGAGGAGGCTCTGAGCTTCTCTTCTGATTGGCTGACTGTTTTCTGAGTGATCCAATAAGAATATAGAAGATTTCAGGTAAAACTTCAGAGAAACCAAATCCTGCAAGGTTGGATGGGGGGGTCCAGGTGGGCGGGGCTTGGGGCATGGCTGAGGGAGGTGACTTCTTTGTTGAGACATCACAAAGTTACAGAAGTCCTGACAGATCGTTTTAAGGCTCAATTTCTTACCTCAATTCCCTCTCTGTAGCCACTAGCTCCGCCCACCTTGAAGATCTGGCCTATCTGGATGACCAGCAGAGACACATCCCTTCGAGGACGTCCCTCAGAATGCCCAGACAGAATTCTGGGAGTTGTAGTCAGGACCACAGAGGTAAACACACACACACACTATCAAACACACACAAATACACATTGTTATTTTAACAAGCAGTATTATAATACTTGACTCATTCCCTCTTTCCCCGCAGTTCGTTTCACTCCCTCTCTCAACCTGAAGCCCCTCCACTTTGAGATTCCTGGCCTCTCGTCTGATTGGCTGTTCACCGGCAGGGAGTGGCTCTTTCAGGAAGTGGACACCTGTCTCTCCAGGGATGACCCTTCGACCAGCCAGGGCGTGGTGATCATTGGCAACATGGGCTTTGGCAAAACGGCCATCATCGCCCGTCTGGTGGCGCTCAGTTGTCACGGAAACCGAATGTGGCCAACTGCTGCTGGAAGCCAGACCATCCCCAAGCGTAAGCACAATCTCCACTATTTGGACATGTAGTAGATTTTTGGCAGGAAGCCCATATCACATGCTTGCCAAAGGACCCCCAGTGAGTTATTCCAGCCATGAAGACAAACTTATTCACTCTGTATGAAACAGCTGAGTCATCATGCACAACCTAATAAAATCAGCCAGCCTCACAATCAAGACCCAGACACATAGCTGAGCCAGTCTCCAGAACAACAACAACCACATGGAAAGAGAGAGGTGGTTTGTGTGTTTACATCTGTACTGACTTTTAAAGTAAGATATTTTTTCCTGCATCCTCAATCCAGATGTAGCGCCTACAGTTTCTTTTTCCAACGATTCCCTGGGAAGAGGAGGAGGAAGAGTCGATGAAGGAGATGGGGGAAGCTGTCCAGGAACTCCAGAGATGAGGAGGAGACAGAAGGAGGCGCTGAGGAAGCTTGCAGGACAGGTAGTATCCCCACATTACTTAATGTAGATCTGCTGTATCACACAATAGATTACTAGAGTTTTTACTCCATTGCATTTATATCTCAGTTCTAATCAGTGGTTAATTTGCAAATTAGGGTACAGATTAAACAAAGAGGACTTAACATGGTAATCAGTGAGCTTTAGTGCTGCTAAAAGGCAGATTTTGATCTGGACTGAGCCAAACAACTGCTGGCCAGTTGCTTTATATTTACAATACAGGCGTGATAACAGCATCAATCTTCTCATCTGAATCTCAGCAAGAATGTCTAACTATTCCTTTAGTAGTAGTTTACAGATTGGGCCATTTCATAACAACATCATAAAATTGAAGCTGCAAGCAGCATTATGCGGGTCCTCGGCTACTCTGTTGAAATTTTCTTCCAGCCATAAAATAGTCCGGTGCATAATCGCCAGCAAAACTGTCTGTCTTTGCAGGTAGTCTCATATCATTTCTGTCAGTCTGATAACTGTCACACCTGTCTGGTTCCGGAGTTCGTCCACAACATGGCCGCTATGCTAAGTGACGCCCCTCAGCTGTTGGCCTATCGGGAGCTGCTACACCGGTCACCGCAGCTACAGAGCACGCTCAGTCTGCGCTCCTGCATCCAGGATCCGAGCTCTGCCCTCCAGAGAGGAATACTGGAGCCGCTGGATGCTCTCTACAGAGGTACAAACAGATTCTACTGCATTCTGCTAGCTTCTCTTCTGCTAAGCCAAGGGACAGTATTTCCTAGTGATGGACGACATTGTTGTTTTCCAGAGAGGAAGTTGCACGTGGAAAGGGCGGGGCTTATTGTACTGATTGACGGGTTGAACGAGGCTGAATTCCACCGGCCGGACTACGGCGACACACTCACTTCCTTCCTGTCCAGAAACATTCAGAAATTTCCATCCTGGTTGAAGGTCATCACCACAGTCAGGACCAGTCAGCAGGTACACACACACACACTCAAACAAGCAAGTCAGACTTCAGGAAACAAAACTTCACAGAACAAAACGTAACTTTTTTTTATTCAGGTGTTGGATGTAAATTAACTATTTGTAAGTTTTGCTATTGCTACATAGTTAACGTTAGCAAAACAGCTGTTTTAGAAGAAACGTTGTGACTTCAGCATCAAACTTCATTCCTTTACTCACCAACAGCCGTCTCCACTGGTGGAAAGAATGTTAACTTTTGTCTCTATGACGTATTTCTTTTCTACTGAAGTTAGCATGCTAACGAGTGAGCCACAGCCCACTCGTCACTTTCCGATAGCGACTCACTGTGGCCTCCATTCTGCCCTGAAGAAGAAGCGCGGCTCAGAGTGCATATTATAACCTCTGGTATTATAAACGCCACAGTGGCTGGAGCTCTTGTCAAAGAGACAATCACCATTATCCGCTCCCGGCAAGAAACCGGCGGCAAAGGAAACTTACAAATAGCCACTTTAAAGCTACTAAAGCTGTTACATTTTCAATAAAATCTATGTTTTGATCATCAGCAGCATCCATATCACCAAACTCCCTTCAAAAATCTGACAATTTATGGCTGCCTTTGTCAACAGCAAAAAGCACACTTTGCTCAAGAAAAGTTTGTGTTTGAATTCAAGAAATTCACATTTATTTAAAAAAAAAGAGCATTCTTGTTTAGGTAGTTTGAGAATCGGTTCAAGGCCCCTGTCAAGCTTTGTGTTTCTCAACAAGAGTTTTTAACCTCTCCAAAACTAAAGCACAACACAAAGAGCAAAAAAAAACTAAACCGATATCAACGAGCAAAAGTGTAACTAACATTGGTTCCAGATGCTATCAGACAAAATAAACAAATGACATCAAACACAGAAGACACATGCAGGGATAAATAACAGCAATAACAACTGAAAGAGGGGGAAAAAATGATTACAAATGTAACATGAGGGTTCAATATGTGGTGGTTTGGATCACTCTTGATAAAAGAAACAGCTGGATGGAGACGGATCAACTTTTCAAGCAGCACCTTTATTTTCCTCCACAGTTCGCCGCTCCACAACACTTCCTGGCTCTAAGTCACATGTTGCTAAACTAACCAATCAGAAACTAGAAGGACTTAAACTGAGGTAAATAGTAAACTTTTAAATATGTAAATAATAATTTAATAAACATAAATATGTGAATAGTTAACTGTATTGACACTGTACATATAGTACAGTAAATTAACTCACATTTACATTATGAATTAACATCTAAACCTTACACAAATAAACAAATAAATAAACATAAATATCAATTTACTGAGTTTTGAAAAACAAAAACAGAATCATAATAAAATAAAAATCTGGTCTGCCATTAAAGAGTGCATTTTATTCAAAATTAGGGATGTTCTGGGTGCTTTTCTACTCGTGTTTTGTTAAAGGAATGAAAGAACTTTTTATGGTCAACCAAAAACAGCCTGCTATTTGGCAAGAAGTAAATTAATCATGATTTATGAATGTGGAATTTTCCAAGAATCCATAGAAGTTTGATGGACTCCTCCAATAAAGAGTTTCCAGTATAACAATCTACAAACACGACCACAGATTCCTTAAGTTTAATGAGTTAAGAGAAGGCAGTGAAGTAGTGAGATCTCTGTCTAGAAGTGGGTAATACGAAGTAGGGTATTTATAGAATAAGTGCATTTTTTTCCTTGTTACAAAATGAGCAGTTTGAGAACATAAGTTTATTTAGTAAAATGTTGGAAGGATAATATCTGTGGCTCTTTTATTGGATTTGGAAAACTGTACAGTCCAGCCAACATTACCCAAGACAACATACATGTCAAACATATCAGTTAGTCTTCATCCTAAAAGCTATTGACCATTTGAAGCGAAACATATTTTTGTATAGAAAATAAAAACAAGAATGTAAGGTAAACAGCCAAACAGGTTCATGTTGGAACAAAATAAGAGTCCTTTTCCTTGTCATACACTAGGACACTACATCAAGTGCATGTTTAAGACCCCTCCCATTGGGTTTTTATTTTAAGATAAGTCAACTGGAAGATTAAAAAGTCAGCCAGACACTTAATAAGCTCTCAAGCTACAGCTGATGAAATCTGTCAACGACAGCTTTTATCTCACAGCGGATGGTTGCTGGCTTGAAACAAGAAGTATGCTTTGTTCTACCTCTGTCTGGATGGTTTACAAAACCACAGAGACCCGTAATGGTAAATCTGCAGTTGTTATCAGTGTAAAGTAAAAGTGACTAAGGGCTCGGGGAATGGAGAGTCAGAGCACAGCAAAGAGTGTGTATACCCACTCAGATGTAAGAAGGGTTAAGCCTGCTTGAAATAACATCTGTCTGAGGCAAATATACGAACGGTGCTGCCAGACCACAGTGAACAAAACACAGATTGGGAGTGGCTTTGCTGAGAAAACTTGTTTTGAACTAAAGGAATCTCTTTCTCTGTCTATTTAATCAATCAGGAAACCACTCGTTCTCTACCTTTTCACCGCATCTCTCTAGACAAGATGGAGGAGAACAACGCCATCGACCAGGACCTGCAGGTAACATGCACACAGTCTGTCTGTCTGTCTGTCTGTCTGTCTGTCTGTCTGTCTGTCTGTCTGTTCATTCATCCTTATGCATCTCTGTTCTTCCTCAGGGTTACCTGATGCAGCGTATCCACAGCAGTGGTGAGATCCAGAGCAACGTGTCACTGAGCAATGGTCGCCTTGACAACACGGCCCTCACCAAACTGATCAGCCACCTGAAGAGCCTGAGCAGAGGCTCATACCTCTACCTGAAACTGACCCTGGACCTGATAGAGGGAGGATACCTGGTCCTAAAGAGCTCCAGCTTCAAGGTGGGGAAAGGAAATAGGAAACAATTAATTAGTTATTAATTTCAACAGAAAATGACAGTTTTCCACCGTGTGTGTGTGTGTGTGCAGGTGGTTCCTGTGAGTCTAGCAGAGGTCTACCTGCTGCAGCTCAACATGAGGTTTCCCACCCAGTCGTCTTTTGAGAGAGTCCTGCCACTGCTCAACATCACTGTGGCATCACTGCACCCACTGACCGAGCAGCAGGTACACACCGTGTGTGTGTGTGTGTGTGTGTGTGTGTGTGTGTGTGTGTGTGTGTGTGTGTGTGTGTGTGTGTGTGTGTGTGTGTGTATGTGTACAAGTTCAGTGCAAATCGGTTCAGCACTTTTTGCGTAATCCTGCTAACGAATAACCAGACGCTGTTCCTCTCCTGTCCTCCTCCAGCTGTTTGAGGTGGTGAATGCAGGCGCTCTGACTGGGGGGTCTCTGCAGTGGGCTGAGTTTGTGCAGCGGTTGGAGCAGCTCTCGTCTTTTCTTTTGAGGCGGAGCGACGGCAGCTGGATGCTAAACCACGCCTCCTTCAGAGAGTGGCTGGTTTGGAGGGAGGAGGGGCAGGATGACAGGTTCCTCTGTGACCCCAGGTACATTGACAAGCAGCAGGAAAGAAAGAGTGAAAACCACAGAGAGAGAAAGAAAGAGAAGTTTTCACTGATCTCACTGTCCATCTGTTTCAGGAGTGGTCACACGCTGCTGGCCTTCTGGCTCTGCAGACAGGACGGGAAGCTGAATCGACAGCAGACACTGGAGCTGGGACATCACATCCTGAAGGCTCATATCTACAAGGTTAGCTCACACACACAAAGGCACAAGCGTGACAACACAAAGTGGCAGGTCTTTGGTGCAGGGCCTGTGTTTGCATCTCCAGGAGCAACAAATGGAAAGATGTTTCTTCAGGAAACCATACTGGTTTCTGGATCATGTAGAGCAACACAACCTGAACACATTTCATCATATACACATGTATATGATCTCATCAGTCTTAGTTCTACTGTATCTCAAGTGGTAAATGGTGGTAGAAGCTTTTTATACAGTATAAAGCAGCTGTGGATAACAGGAAGAAGAATTCACTCATAGATAATTGCAGACTCATTTACAGACATTCCTTTTTGTATCACTTATCTTTATTGATTTTGAACATTATACATCACATTTCCAGAGTGGTTTGGATATATCTTTCAAGTCTTCCTTGAAACAACTTCCCTCCCTCCGTCCCAGCCTCTCACCCATGAACTGACAGCCATAAGCGTTTATGACAACAATAATGATGATAAATTACATAAACATATAAACAAATACCAACGTTTTTATATGCATACCTACATACACATTTCGGCCTTGTGAATGCAATATCTCTGGAACTCTTTAAGGGAATCCCTTCACTTCACTCCACTGGCACTTAAGGATGAACTGATTAGATTTTGGTGGTCAAAGGTCAAAGGTCAAGGTCAGTGTGACTGCACAAAACACTTTTTAGCCATTACTCAAGACACACAGCAAATATGACAAAATTTCACACAAATGGTAAATATTTCATAAGACTCTAGATAATCGGGAATGTAATCTGAACCTAGTCTGAGTGGCAGAGGCAGACGACCATGAAGCGGTAATTCTAGTTAACAGTGTTGTATTTCATGAGCTTATATGTTTTTATGAAAAATCCTGATGTGGAGAGTAACTCGCGGTGTGAGCCAAATGTAGTGCAGTAAAAACTACAATATTCTTGTCTGAAATGTGGTGAAGTAAAGCTGAAACACGCATTTAAGATGTCAATGTCAGAGTGCTGCGTGGTCGGTGCACCACCATGAAAACAGAGTCTAAAGTCTAAAACAATGGCTCAGTATTATCTACCTGACCATGACCGATGCCTGTTTGTTTCTGTGGTGTCTGTTCTATCTACAGGGTCTGAGTAAGAAGCTTGGGGTTTCCTCCTCAGTTCTGCAGGGGCTGTGGCTTTCATACAGCACAGAGAACCTGAGCCCCGTTCTCTCATCTCTGCGCAACCTCTACACCCCTAACATCAAGGTAGCATACTGCACACACACACACACACACACAAAGACACACACACACACATACCCTGCTAATGCAGGTGGGCTGTAACTTGCCTCTCTACCTGTCCAGGTGAGCAGGTTGCTGATAATGGGTGGGGCTGATGTGGATTACCGTAGTGATGTCCTTAACAACGCCCCCCTGCTGTGTGTCCACTCCCACCTGGGCCACAATGATGCCGTGGCGCTGCTGCTCGACCATGGCGCTCAGGTAAAGACTTGATATTTATTTTCAGTACCGGACTTTGGGGAAACATTGTGCTGGTTTTTTATTTGGAAGATTGTGCCATTCCCTGCAACCAAACCTGCAGCTTCTGTGATGTATTTCTAGGTGGATGCTCAGTCACGGGATGGTTTGACGGCGCTGGGATTTGCTGCTGCAGCTGGACATCTGGACATAGTCATCATGCTGAGTCAGCACCAAGCTAAGGTACCCCTCTACCTGCGGGCCTGCAACATTTTCTCTCAAATTCAAAACCTTTTGACCATAGGCAGTCCAGCCATGCACCAGGTTTTTATACCTAGTCTTGTTTTTTCTTAAATAATCACAGCCATAAAATATCAACAAAAAAAAATGCATTTGTTTGGATGTTGAATGTGGAACGCAGGGTGTGTGTGTGTGTGTGTGTGTGTGTGTGTGTGTGTGTGTGTGTGTGTGTGTGTGTGTGTGTGTGTGTGTCTGTGTGTGTGTTGAGATTAGGCTAAAGTTGCTAACAAATACTATTTATCCTGTTTACCATTGCCTGTGTGCTTTGCAGTGCCCCAGGATGCACAGGACACTGCCTGTAAGTCTCTGTTTCCCTGTGTACTCAGGTGGGTCATGTGGACAGCTCAGGTCAGTGCGTGTTGGTGCACGCGGTTCATCGAGGCCACCTCAAGGTGCTGCACTTCCTGTTGAAGCAGGCAGACTGGAGCTGCACTTCCTGCTGCAGCCAGAGAGGGGCGAGCAAGAGCCAGGCAGTGCAGCAAGCTCTGATTGCAGCAGCCAGCATGGGCCACACAGAGGTGAACTACACCCCCCCCCACACACACACAAACACACACACACACACACACACACACACACACATATATCTTTATAATATTGTGTGTATTTAAATATATTAATTTTCTTTATTGTGTGCATGTGTGTGTGTAGATAGTGTCATACCTACTGGATCTTCCGGAAGAAGACGAGGAAGAGGAGGAGAGACCTGAGATCAACACATTTGACAGTCTCTGGGGAGAGACAGGTACAAAATCTGTCTAATGCAACTACACAACAAATAATCATACTGCATGATACTGTACTAGTCCTTTCTACTAATACTTTGCCACTGCAAGTCTTTTTATACCCCGGGACTTCTGCTAATACTGCACTAATACTACAGGTTTTATCTGTATTTTTAGCAATTTGATAATTTGTATTTAATTTTTTTTAAATCATAAAAATTATGGTTGAAGATAATATGACAAAAATACATAAAATGACTATACTGCAGGTCCTACTGCTCTACTGTAATGCTGCTGTTATTGAAACTGGCACTGCTAATGCTAATTGTGTAGGACCCCTTGTGCTTCACTCAAAGTCAACTGAATCAAAGCTGAAGTTATATGTTCTGTTACATGTTATGTGCATTTTACATGATGAGCTAAATGGCTGTAGGGTAAAGGGTCATTTACATGAAGCATGTTTGCTGACTCATTGTTGTCATTTGGGCTCCATTAGTGTTGCTAAAAGTCCTACCAAATAGTAAGTAGGAGAGAGTTTGTGAACAGGAAGTAGCTGCTGTGCTGCACATCACTGACCTCTAGTGGAGGAAACTGTGTACTACTGCACAAATCATTTACCAGGGCCCTGTAACACACGAGAGATTTAGTGGGTTATCAAGATATCTGCGGGCTTCTCTCAGGTTTTGTGGTATCACAAAGATGGCTTACTTTTAATGGGGATAGATCACCATGGTAACCTGTGCTTCACCTCACATCATTTATAGAAGTGTTCCTCTGGTTTGGTTAAAATTTCACAGACTTCACCACGGACCTGTGCAAATACGTGCTGAAAATCATCAGGTTGCCATTGGTGCCCAACTGCTGATTGAAGCTGTTAGAAACACATCTCTCTCTCTCTTTCTGTCTCTGTCTCTCTCTCTCTCTCTCTCAGCTCTGACAGCAGCAGCAGGAGGTGGCCGTCTGTCTGTGTGCAGGCTGTTGTTGGATCAGGGGGCGGCTGTTGAGCAAGGCAACAGACGAGGTGTGGCTCCGCTCTTCAGCGCTGTGAGACGAGGCCACTGGCAACAACAGTAAAACACACAAAACACATACACACATACACACGGGGACACACACAGACTCACACACACACACACACACACAGAGTAAACACATTCATTTTGATTGCTGCAGTAGAAATGCAGAGTGTGTGTCTCCCTCTGTGTCTCGGTCAGGTGGTGGAGTTGTTACTGAATCACGGGGTGGAGGTGAACATGGTCGACCAGCAGGGCCGAACAGCTCTGATGACGGCAGCCTCAGAGGGACATATGCCCACAGCCCAGCTGCTGTTGGATCATGGTAACCCACCTTGCCATAGTAACAACAACACAGCTCGTATGTAAACAAATGACCCGAAACTCAGTTTTTTTTCAGGTACCTGATTTTTGTTTTTCAGGTATATTTCATGATATTTTAGTAAAAAGCCCCAGTTTTCTGATCTGTTCCAATTCCAATATTTGCTGTTAATACATTACATTTCAACATTTCTTGGTGCAGATTTCTGACCCCAACTTTGTCTTTGAGATGAATTCACTTTCTCTGTTTCCAGGAGCCTCTCTGGACCAGAGCGACAGGGAGGGGTTAACGGCGCTGAGCTGGGCTTGTCTGAAAGGACAGCTCCTATTGGTCAGAGAGCTGGTGGAAAGAGGTGCAGCCACAACTCATGCTGACCGCAGTGGACGTACACCTCTGGATCTGGCTGCATTTCGCGGTGACCCAGAAGTGGTCAGTAAAACAGACGCATTTCTCATTGTATTTGCCATATTTTACAAAAAGTATGTCTGTCCCTGCTTAATCTGTCCTGCAGCGTCCATTCATGTCTATATTCTGAGACAGACCCGTGTGTGTCCTTCTCTGTGTGTTAGGTGCAGTTCCTGGTGGAACATGGCGCGTCGGTGGAGCATGTGGATTGCAGCGGGATGCGTCCTCTGGACCGAGCAGTCGGCTGCAGAAACACTTCAGCTGTCATCGCTCTGCTCAAACAGGGAGCCAAGATAGGTAGCGACATCTACAGTTCCTCATTAACCCAAACAAATCTGGGTCACAATGGTTTTTATCAACTTATAAGATACAAATATGGGAAATGAGAAGTTTATAAGTACTACTCTGCGGGCAGTCTGTGAATGTTCTCATTCGTCCAAGTCATTGTTATCTCTCTCTCAAATTAAATCGAAGGCAACTGGACTTGTATTTGTCTGTGGAAGACGTTTCGCCTCTTATCCAAGCGGCTTCATCAGACTAGTGTGGACTAGAGAGACCAATACATAAGAACTGATGAAGCCGCTTGGATAAGAGGCGAAACGTCTTCCACAGACAAATACAAGTCCAGTTGCCTTCGATTTAATTTGAGAGAGAGATACTCTGCAGGCAGTTCCTTCCTCCTCATGGTTTTTGCTCTGATATTCATAGTTTTCTAAATGGTGTTTTATGCTGTTTATGTAAATTAATCCATTTATAAATTCTTTTTACAATTCCTAATTTTAATGCTTATTAAAAATATGAAATGAAGGAAATGCCTTATTACTTTTCCTGTGACATCACTGGTCCTCCATAGAAAAGCACTTAAGAAACCCACTTTTTTTGTTAGAAGCCACTTAAATGTTCAGATTGTCCTAAGTGCATGTTGACAATCTTAGCTTAGTGCGTTAGCATGCTAACATATGCTCATCAGCACTAAACACAAAGTGCAGCTGAGGCTGATGGGATGAAGGGTTCACATTACTGTTGGCAAATAGGTACAAACGAACAAATAGGAGTGAAACACACAACCTGTTCGGCATGTTAATATTTCAGTGTGTGTGTGTGTGTGTGTGTGTGTGTAGGACCAGCGACATGGGCCATGGCAACCTCTAAACCAGACATCCTAATGGTTCTGCTCAGTAAATTGATCCAAGAGGGAGACAAACTGTACAAGGTAACATGGCACAAGCAGATTTAATAACAAACCAGACACACATACCCTTATTTGATATTGTAAGGACTTTGTGTGTGTGTGTGTGTGTGTGTGTGTGTGTGTGTGTGTGTGTGTGTGTGTGTGTGTGTGTGTGCGTGTGCGTGTGCGTGTGTGAATTTGTAGCAAGGTAAAGTGAGGGAGGCTGCTCACTCCTATCAGTCAGCACTCCAGAAGTTTCCAGGAGACGAGCTGAAGACGTTTAGACAACTGAGAGTGTGTGTGCTGCTCAACCTGTCACGCTGCCGCCGCAAGATGAATGTGAGTCTCTGTATATTTCTCACTCCTAAACACACACACACACACACACACACACACACACACACACACACAGACAGCAACACACTGGAGAAAAACATTTAACAATATGAATTATCTATAGTCTTGACTCTAATTTAATTCTACCTAATGACATGTTTTAGTTTCATGCAAAGAAAGTTGTTTTTTCATTTTATTTTGGAATGAATCTCTCACAGTCCTCTGTCCTCAATCTCACACTGAGTACCACCCTGAATTTTTTTTTCTTCTCAGGATTTTGGCCTTGCTGAGGAGTTCGCTACCAAAGCACTAGAGCTAAAAGCAAAATCCTATGAGGCCTTTTATGCCAGAGCCCGGGCCAAACGCAGCCGCAGGTAATTAAAGCAATAGAAGGATGAGTAGCTGAATGGAATTAACCTACACAAGCAAATCATGAAATGTTGAATGCATCAAAATATTTTTATATATATAATTTAAAGTCCCAAATAACCACATAAAGAATTAAACTTACTACACTTGTTTGTATCTAATAGTTGAGTCTTTTCTGTGAGTTTATATATATGTTATATATGAAATTGTTCCAATTTCTAATAGGTTTCATTATAATTTTACATGTGTTTTTATTTTATATGTGCATATATTTCATATATGGAAATTCAATATATGTACATATATTACATTTGTGTATTATGCTGGTTGTCCTGAATATATATATAAATTTATTTATCTATCTTCATCGAATAGTCTGAAAAAACACCTCATGTTAGTGCATAAATTTTCGAAACTTAAAAACAAGTAATGGAAACATACTTGTTTTTAAGTTCGCAATTTCAAATTTCACATTGAGCAAGTTAATGGAAATGCACCTGCTGTGAGTACTGCACTGCACAAGGTGTTGACCCATAAAGCAGCTAGATGTCGGAGCAAGTAGGATTTTAAGCTTGGGTCTAGCAGAGTTTCTAGAGTTCTGCCGCACTGTCTCTTCTGAAATCTTCTTTCCGTCTCTGCCTTCGCTCTCGGTCACCTTTCAGACAGTTCCATGCAGCTCTGGAGGACCTGATTGAGGCCAGTCGCCTGTGTCCATCCAACCGGGAGATCCAGCGTTTGCTGTCCCGGGTCAAGGAAGAGTGTCGGCAGGTTGCGCAACAACAACAGCAACAAGAGTCTCCCCCTCCTTCATCACACCATGTTTATCAACAGAATGTGTCCATCAACGAGGCCAGGCGCAGAGATTCAGGTTCTCTCCAGGTGCAGGACAGGGGGGGGCTTACCAAGGAAGAGGAGGAAGAGGAGAAGGAAGACGAGAGGTGTTACAGAGAAGGAGATCCTCCACCACACTTGTCCTCCTTCCACCCTCCACCTGTGGTTCAAAGTTTTGACACCCACTGCCGTCCTGGGGTGCCATCATCCTCCTCACTCTCCCCCACTCACTTGTATCATCACATCCCGAGTCCCGTCCACTCCCCCTCTTCCTCTTCACCCTGTCATTCTGCTCCTCCTCCTCCCTCCTCTTCCTATCACCAATTCAGCCCTCCTCCCTCCCCAATGCAACATCAGCAGCAAGGCCCGATATCGGAAGGCATCCCCGCATTGTCAGGATCTGGAGGTCTGCACCACTACCCACAGTCCATCTCAGCCCTTCTCCACTCAGACCAGAAACAGGGAGTGCAGCAGCACCACTACCTGTCGGATCAGAGATCCTTTCAGAAGCAGAACCAGTGGCTCCAACCAGCCAAAGTCCAGGTTGTCAGAACCAGTCAGCCGAGTTCTTCATCCCACTCCAGCATGGTTTTGGGAAGTTCTGCTTACTCGCAGTTTGCTCATCTGCCCCAAGAATTGGCGGAACTGGGGGAAGGAATTCACTCCAGTCCCCTAGATGTCAGGCCTAGCCTGCAGGTCCAGGCTGGTCTGAATCCTGGAGCTTCGTATCCACCAGATGATGTGGATGTTGACTTGGTTTGCCAGTCAAGATCTGCCTATGGGAGAGGAGCAGGAGGGGAGAGAGTGGGGAAAAGCCGGTTTGCTCAGGCCCATCAGTTCAGCCGCAACCAGTCCAAAGCAGCTTACTATCCCATGGAAGTCACAGAGGCTACGATGGAACCCCCTGATAGCCTTCCACCATTGCATGATTATCAATACCACCACCAGGGTGGGCTACGACGCCCACTCAGTGCGCACCCAACCTCCTCCTCGGCTTCCGCCCCCAGGCCTGTCATCCAGAGTGTCAGCGTCCGCTTCTCCACCAGCAGTGGCAGCCTTGCCGGCGGGCAGCCAACCAATCATGGCTCAAGCTTCAGGACCTCAGCCTCCACCCAGCACATGGACTTACCCTCAGATCTGGCCTCTGTGGGAGGAGTCACTGGTTACCATGATGATCTCTTTCTGATCTCCTCCCCCCAGTCAGAAATGGGCATGGTAGGAGGCGGGACTTATCCTGGAGAGGTGGGCCGGTCATCTCGGAGCACTCCTTTTATGGGTGTTACTGACAAGAAAGTGAGGGTGCACCAGCAGTATCAGCAACAAGCTCCTTCCAGTTCCTCATCGTGTCTCAGCCCCTCCCGATCCTGGGCTGTGTCTTCAGTAGACACGGTTGTCACCTCGCCGAGCAAAACCCCCACCAATCAAGGAGGTTTCAGTCACGCGCAGCCCTCCTCCATCGCATACCACAACCGTAGCAACAACAATGCCCACAACGGTCACCTCCTCCACGACAACCTGCTCGACTGCTACGAGGTGCTGCCGGGCAGCGGCCCTCAGGGTGAAGTCAGTAACAATCCCTCTTACGTGGACGTGAAGCTCGCCCGAACACTGCCAGTGATTCACAGCTGCTCAGACAGACCGTCTGAGAGGAAGACAGGACCTACCTCTCCTGTCAAACCAAAAAGACCCTTTGTTGAGTCCAATGTATAGAGAAAGTTTAAATGATAAGTCAGACACAAGGGAGGAGGGTTAATGTAGAGTGTTTAAAAAGAAGTCAGTGTACCTGTATATTCCAAGTTTAACTGGGGCTGTGGAATTGTTACGGTAAGATACGGTATGACGAGTAGTTTGTACGAGATTGAGAGGGGATGCAATAAGAGTTGTTGGTTGTACACACTCTGTAGTACACATGAAAAGTGATTGAAGTAGTTTGTTCATGTACTTTGACGCACAAAAGAGAGCTTGAGAGGAAAGGTTATGTTGTCAGCAGTTGCTGCGTGAATGCCTGTCAGATTGTCAGTTTCAGTGAACTCCATGTGAAGCATACTGACTCTTTTACTGTGCAGAAGAAGAAAACATTGCCTGTAACAGGTCAGGTGTGTCAGAGACAGAAAAGAAGCAAGGACGAACAGAAAGAGAAAACTGCAAGTTTTGAAGAACTTGATCTTTCGTTCTGAAGCAAGTGGCAGCTCCTGGCATCACAAAGCACAATGAGGAAGAGGATGTTTGGTGAAATAAATAAATGAATAAATACAAAAAGATGTCACTGAAAAATCCCTCCTTCCTTCCCTGGTCATCTCTGGCTTACAGTGCATTTTAAAACTGATGTCTCTGGATGCCCATGTTACACTGCTGTAGAGTTTTTCTGCCGAGTTGATGTATGCAACAGGAGGGACACAAAAATCACCACTATTACCTTTGTGTGCTGTTGACGCCTTTAATGAAAATTTACATTTCAAGTTTGAAGCGCTTAAATGATACAATGACTGGAAACCCTGGATACATCCAGGCTCTGTGACCTGTGCTGAGCAGGTGCAGGTCAGTGACCCAGTCTTAAGCCATAGTTTGAGAAACTAGGATGATGCTCTTATTGAATGAGCACTAACTTGCTGTTTATAAAACAAAAGTAAGTGATATTTATCTTTTTTAAGTTATGTCTGTGTTAAAATGTAAAAAATGTTGTTTCTTTTCAAACTGTGTATTCCTTTTGAATTTGCCTTTTTATCTTTTTGAGGGGTTTCACTCAGAACATAGACATGAAAACCTTCTTTTCCAGCTACATTGAAGTTCAGCTTTGCTCAGTTCTGGGTTAACATCCATTCCTGCTTGTTTACGATGACATCACTCTACAATGAACACCCGCAAAAATGCCTTTTAACTATGTTTTTACTCCAGGTAGATTTTTTTATTTTTGTTTCTTTTCTATGAAGGTCTTTTGTATTCTGTAGTCCTATTCGTTCTAATTAATGCAAACCACATGGTTCCCAATCATACCAGGAGCCCTTTACACTCGTTGCCATGGAAACTTAATGTCCTATGTGTTGGCAATTGGCTCCTCCTACTGCCAGTAATTCAGTCAAAAAGTCAATTAGCCATTCACTAAATCCCTCCCCTGAACAGTGATTGCCCAGTCTCAGCTTAGCAACTAAGCATAGCCTGTCAAGGTCTATATTTCTCCGCCATGTTAAAGCGGTGTGCATGGAGCTGTAATAAACTCAATCCTCTGCATTGAAAGATGTTTGATGTCGTTTTGTTTTAGCCTTTTCAAAAACACAAAATCAAAAAAGTAAGAAATGGATATAACATAAAATGTCTTTGTGTTTATCTGCTCTAAGCTACAATCATTAGCATGTCTGGCTAACTAGCTCACTGCCTACAGTGATGACCAAGTGTTGCTTTTCAAGGCCAAGAAGCGTATCATTAGCCGACTACAGTAGTTTGTTGGTCCTCAGGAAACAAACAGCTTGTCTCGCTCAAGTTAATGCTAACATTTGCGTTTCTGTTCTGCTCTTTATTTTACATGAAGCTTACATTCTACCAACTCAGGCCAAACTTGTTAGCTGTACATTACTGTACATTACTGTACATTAGCCAAAGTCCTGTAACGCTAAAGGTGAAAACATATGATTTGAAAATATGAACAATTATAAGCTAAATCAATAAAAAGAGTATGTTAGAATGAAATAACGAGCCGAGTGGATGTTTCGAATGCAGTTTCACAAATTTCACAAGCTCGGCATAAGTAAATGAAATAATTCATAACACAAAAATACTGTGTTCATTCGTCTATATTGCTTCCTATGTTTTTTATATTTAAGTGTTGATCCATAAGAAGATATATTTGTGGTTTGAAGAACCAAAAACCATCTCAATGTAGTTCTACATCTCCTGTTTCGGGCTTCTCTCTGGAGATCTAGTAACAGGTCAGTGAGCCAATCAGAAGAGAGGAAGCTCTGAGCCTCTTTTCTGATTGGCTTACTGCTTTCTGAGTGACTGAATAAAAATATAGCAGATATATGGTAAACACTCAGAGAAACAAAATCCAGGTTGGCGGGGCTTGGGGCATGCCTCGACTGCTTTGTTGTGACATCACAAAGTTACAGAAGTCCTGACGGCTCATTTTAAGGCTCAGTTTCTGAATACAGACTGTGTGCATTTCTCTGTGGACTGAGGCTTTGATACTTTCACAGTATTAATATAGAACCTAGACCTGCTTTGGACATGGATATCTACCTTTAATGCCACACGAATTACAACCTACTGCATCTGTTGTGTAATACTACTACTGATGCGTAATATTCCCACAATGATGTAATTATTCATAAAGTCAGTCTAACATTTGGTGTAAACTTGCCACCATAACCTTCAAAACAAGCCACAACATAACTGTGCGCGTGCACACCTGCATGCTCTTCATTGGTGTGCTCAAAAAGCTCTACACCTCTGGAGGCCTGCTATTGTTTATCTCTGTCTGAAATCAAGAAGCCATTGTTTACAAATTATTAAAACAAAAGGCGTAGAAAGAGTAACAAGGGGAGGGAGTTAACTAACAATCTAACAGTCAGTCCAGAACTGGTTGATTAACAGAAGGTTTTTAGAACAAGGGCCTAAACCTTAATTTATTTATTTTTAATGTGTTTTATGCACATGAATGAATGAATTTTTTTGTACATTTCTTTTTATGTTTCCAATGAATCAGCAGCTTGGTTTCTGAGCTGCTGGTGCTTTATCCTGTGACCTCTGACCTCTCTGTCAGTCTTTCTGACCACTGCCCTTTGTTCTTACTGCTCAGGAGTCTCCAGCCATGAGAAGATGTGGTAAAACTTAATCACCTTGGTTCACAAGCCATTTTCATAGCCTGACTGCTAGAAAATAAAGGATGTAATTCTGGCCAGTTAGAATATAACAAAGTATATTGTTAGCAATTCGATTGGCTGCTGTTGTTTTAAATCCTTGATGAGCCGGATGACAGATGGGTAGTCTGTCAATAAAACGGTGTGTTGTGCTGTATATGTAGAATTCAAGCCCAAGGTTTTAAACACCATGTTGGAACACGGCTTTTTCTCTGTAAGATACTGTTAATATTTAAAACCCAGGACTGTTACATCAATAATTACATCAATATCAAACAATGTGTTTTTAATCAGCTCATGTAATAGTATTGACTGCTGAGGTAAAATTACAATGAGAAATAAAGCTGAATGAAAGGCAGATGTGTAGTGTATCTCTTGGGGAGGGGGTTACTTTTCATACCATTATGGTGGTTTTCCACTGACAAAAAGGCTGTACTCCAAAAATCCCTTCCTCTCATCCAAGTGCTACGATTGAAACTGACTTGACAAGCGACTGTTGACAGATGACTCTAAAAACTGAATGTCATTTGAGTTTTTTACAACTAGAAGTACATTTTTTAACGATTACTCAGTTGTTAAGTGACAAGACTTGTAAATATGGTATTGATTTTATCCGTTTTGCCTTGTTCCCCTCTTTCAGTCACCCTCTCACCTTGGTTGTAGCTTTATTTACTTATTTACCCGCCTTGCTATTTAATAAATTTGCATTACCACTCCCAACTGGTTTTATGTTGCTTCCCTTTTCCCCAAACAAGCTGGTTTGTAACAAAACCAGTGACTAAATCTCTCAGATAAATATAGTGTAAATGTGTATAAAATTGTGGTTAAGTACTGTGGTAAAATTTACTTAAATGCACATGAATAATCTCTGTTAAACTGGCTTTTATGATAACTTACAAGGCTCATTGCAGCATTTGATTCCAACGTCTCTTCTCTGAGTTGTGCATAGTGTCAAGTGTTCTTACGGGAATTTGTTAAGATGACAAGAGACTATGACCTTGTCCTCATTGCAGGTTTACTAGGCTGGTGGGGGAAGGAGTATTTTTAGTATCTGCCTCTTTTGATGATCGCTTTGAAATAAATAGGTATTTGTGAAAAACTCAACTCAACCAAAAAAATGCAGCAGTTTCACACACATTGTTTTATTCATTTCAGGTTGTCCCAGTGACATTTAAATTTGCTATTGAAAAGTGACAACGTCTATATACTGTAAGTACGTAAAGACAAACAACACCCACTAATGTAAATCGGCCAGTTTTCTGTAAAAGCTTTGCATTAGGCACTGGGGCTGATTCCTGAAGTCAAGGCAAAAAGCAAAAAGTACTGTAGCTACATTTTTTTTAAATTTGGTTCAACATTCAAATATATGAATTTAACATATTAAGGTAAACGTATCAACAAGCCAAAGCTGAAGAACATACATGAATTAATACACACTGAACAGACATATTTTTCTTAAATGACAGTTCATTTGAATACAAACAGCTTACTAGTGGACACAGGAAAACATTTTGTTAATACATTATTTCTTTGTGGACAAATAGTACTGACTTGGCTTCTTACAACTTGGATCTCGGACAGGTACAGATACTGTAGGACAGTGGATATTGTGGCGCTGTAGTGTGTGAGTCATTTTCACAAATTATGAATATTATCATTATTGGCAGCATTATCTATTAGTTTAATGAAGACGAAGGATGATCACTTGGCACAGGTCCAGCTGCAGCTTTACAATTGGATGTGCAAAGGAGTGGATTTTGCAGATTTTTGTTTTGTCCTCTTCAAAAAAAAAACAAATGTATTAATATTTAGTCTATGTATTTATTTGTAATTATGCTTAAGGAATAAAAAACAAATGTACGAAATCAAGAGGGCACATGAGTGGTTCTAAATGAAATGCGTAGATCAATGAGAAGGTTAAATGTGGGCGCACTGTTTGACTTTCAACAAAATCAAACTGTCCAAGAGCACTAACTAGGAAATGTCCTGATCAAGAATTGATACCAAATCTGATTCAAAATGACACAGCTGCCGAAAGAAATGCTTAATATACACAGTAAAAGTAATTATATACATAGCAGCAGAAGATATTCAAATAACAGATATAGAAGAGTAAATTTGGCACATCTTTATAAGTTTATAAGCTTTAATTATTGATTTGATATGAATGAAAGTGAAAGTGGGAGAATGCTGTGATCAGCTAGATAATTTTACTATAGAGGTCATATCACTCCAATGATTTTGTTGGGACTAAAAAACATTCGGTCCACTCTGATTGGACAGTGGTGTTACAGATGTTTGGCTGAGTATAGACACATGAACCTGACAACATCAAGTCACTCACAGAATTGACGTTAATTAGCGACAGCTGATATGATGTTTAATTTTAGAAAGTGACGCTTAGTGCAGGCTAAAAGTGAGAAGCTGCTATCTGGATGTTTTGTACGCTGCTAATGAGAGATAAGAGAGAGATGTATAGATTAAAAATGTTCAGATCAGCCCTGATATCAGGTATCTCTAGTGCAGTGGCTCCCAACCCACTGGTGGGCTGCAAAGGTATTGCAAGTGTGCTGACAACTCATTAGCAAAACAGTCCAATTTTGGTGAAGAGATATATATATAATTAAAAATATAAAGTTGAAAAACTCTAATGTTGTCACAAGCTGGACCAATTACTATACTTGTTTGCTATCTCAGTCTGATTGCACACTAAAAGATTACATCCATGGCAAAAAGTGGAGAATCACAATGGGTAGTCGGTTAGCAACAGAAAGAATTAAAAGGAAAGAGAGTCAAGACACAGATGGTGAAACCCCCCGTCAACCAAAAAGTTTTGTTTTGGGGTCGTATGTGGACATTTTTGAGATTTTGACATGGGCCATGAGTTGGAAAAGGTTGGGAACCACTGCTCTAGTGGTAACATCTGGTCACTTTGCAGGACTACACTACTAGATTAGTGAGAGACAGAGTTCTGCTACCTGACCAGATGGCTCCAGACAAAGCATCAGGTTCTGGCTTGGGTTCAAACCTTTTCTGTTGTGTAATGCTTTGGTCTCTGTTCAAATGTAATCTATTGAGAAATGGCCGTCAGTCTCTCCCAGTGCCCAGTGGGGTGAGAAAAGGAGTAGTGACTGGTTGCGTTAGCCTGTTGAACTGCCAGTGAAAAATAAAGCTCCAGGTTAAGTTTGAATCTCACATTTGGTAATACAAGTCATGTTCAGTCGACTGTTAGATTTAGGAGTAAGGCCTGGGTTTGGGTCTCAGTTGACTTGCAGAAGTCATAGATACTGTAGGAGTACATTTGTAAATCCAGTTACTCCAGGGAAAACAGTTTCTGAGCTGTCTGAGATACACGTAAGTGCAGTTATACATTAGCATTAATTTCGCACACAGCTGCTGTAGATATACCGTAGGTGACGTTTGCCCACTCAAAAAAGGTCACGACATGTCAACACCACAGCGGCTATGGAGATGCCATGTGACGACAGCTGTGATTGGTTACCTTGGGCTGCTTGTGTTCCTATTTGAAGCCATACAACAATCAGAAGTCTTGTTAATTTTCTATACACTGTATAAACTGAATTTGATGGGTGTGATAATATTTTTCTTTTACTGCAGTTAACATTTACATTTACTATTTTTTTCCTATTAATTATCGCAATAAAAGACATAAATCATTTTGGTTGGAAGTTGATTGAAGAGACAGGAGAGAGAGAAACACTTTTATGCTTCCTGTCCGTTTAGTGACTTCACCGAAACATAAACTTTTGTCTTGTCTGACCACGCTCATGGCAATTTGTGTTTGAACTGATGACTCTTTAACTAGGCATTAGAAGACTGGTAGAACAGACAGTCTGTAGGCACAAAACTGCTTGTATCCAAGTGAAGTGGAGGTTACAGACTAGAGGTCAGGGCCTGGTGGGTGACCCCCCCTCAATCAGGGTCTTGAAGTGGACAGACAGAGACTCTTCCTCTGGGTTGGGCGGGCGTCTGTAGTCTTCCCTGGTGATCAAGTAGCCAAGCAGCACCCCAAAACACACCAGCACGATCCCCAAAATGTTGGCCAGCACCCCCTCTGGGTCGAACAGGGAGTAGGTCGGCCTGGAACAGGAGAGACAGAGAGGGATTCGGGAGGAGGAGGTAGAGACAGACATCTAATGATGAGTGAGTAGATGAATGGAGACACGGACAGATACAGTCAGAGACAGACGTACATGATGCTGAAGAGGAGTTTCTCCGTGATGCCGAGCAGACTGCTCCCTATGGCCATAACCAGCAGCACCAGACCACAGAACACATGGATGGGGAGGTACGAGGCCCGTAGCCCTGATGATGCGACCGGAAACAGGAAGAACAGCAAACCCATCACCCACTAGGAGAAATGAGAGAGGTTTTAAAAGTGAGTGTTACTGTTTTAATCCTCATCACACTTGAGCCAATCGTGTGTCAGCAGAGCAGAGAAAACAGTGAAGCAGATACAGAAACATCACAATGTGATCTCAGTGACTGTAGGTGCTGCTGGTGGTGTAATGGTGTGGGCAATGTTTTCTTGGCACTCTTTGGGCACCTTAATACTAATCAATCGTCGTTTGTCGCCGCCTGTCTGAGTATTGTTCAGTTCAGTGTTAGGTTCAGTGAATTCAGTGTCCTCCCGTGTCTTCAGATCTGAATCCAGTAGAACACCTTCGGGATGAATGTGCAGCGGAAATTATGTGATGCTGTCATGTCGACATGGAGCAGAGTCTCAGAGGAAAGTTTACAAAATCTTCCAGAATCAGTGACATGAAGAACTGAGGCTGTTTGAGAGCAAAGGGAGGAACTACCCGGTGTTAGTATGGTGTTCCCAATAAAGTGCTCAGCGAGTGCATATATCGATGTTAGTGTGTGTGTACCTGTAAGCAGAACAGGACTATGGTAGCCATGCCGCACCAGCTGTGTAGAGAGTACATGTCTGGGAACTTTGCTGCTTTGTGGAAGTCAAACACAGCGAGAAAACCTACACACACACACACACACACACACACACATACACACACACAGTGAGTTACACACACACGTAAGGAAACATCTACTGGTGTCTGGAAAAGGCAAATAATTAAGTACTCTCTCTCTCTCTCTCTCTCTCTCTCTCTCTCTCTCTCTCTCTCTCACACACACACACACACACACACACACACAGTGGTATTAACATCTTTACTTTTACACAGTCACTTCACTGTCTTGCTCACCTATGATGCTGATGATGAGGGCGAGCAGGTGAATGATGCCATGAAGCAGTTTTACGTTCCTCTTCGCCTCATTACGAAATACTCTGTAGACCAGGATGGCTGTAGACACAGAAAGAGAGACACAGAGAGAGAGAGAGGTGGAGCTTTATTATTAAATATTAAATTAACTACTTTTCTTTCTTTTTTTTACAGGTTTCACAGGTTGTATCAGCCAACATCTCAAAACACGCCATGCAATTACCATATCAATTACTGATAAACTATCTTTCAAATGAGACAAAAAAGTCCAAATCAGACTGGGAATAACTTTCTAACCTTAAAGAAAAACAAATCCATTAATGAGGAAAATATCAACAGAAAAAAGACACTATTTATACCACTGAATATAATAATATCAAACACAATATCAAGTCAATACTTCAAGTAGAAATTTCAATGTCAATGCACTAATAATGAAGGTAACCATCATTTAAGCAGTTGTTTCATGAAATATTAAGAAGACAGAATGAGGCCAAGAAATCATGAAATAGATAATCAAAACATCAAACAAGGACATCAAATAATTATCAATATACTAAAGAAGCAGACATGATCAAAATGTCAAACCTAGGGACATAATTAAAATGTCAACCAAGAAGAAAAAAGTATAAAGAACCAGTTTAAAAGAGTAAAAAAGCAGCAAATTTGAAAATGCAAGACATAATAAATAGCAATTAAATAATTCAGATTTAATTTCAAATAATTGAATTAAAAAAATATACAAATGTATATATATTTTCCAGATAAATACTACAAAAATATGGACATGAACATTTGAGAAGTGATCTTCGGAGCACAGAAGCTGCAAAGATGTGCTGAGAGGTCAACATACTGTACATGTGCGTCCTGCAGAAACTGCGTCTCCAGCAAACATTCAACTGAACACAATTGCTAATTGTGTTCAGTTTAAATCCTTTCTTTTGGCCACCTGAGCCAGCTGCTTTGTACCATTTCCACTAAGCAGCTTCGCACTTTTTTTTTCAAAGCGCCATTTGCTGTTTGCAGAGTGAGCATGAAATGTGAGTCATACTGTATGTGAGGCTTTGAGAAAAGTTCTGCTCTGATTAAGTATGAATACAGATTAAAGCGAAAAAAGGATGTGTTGCTGAATGTATCTAGCATTAGTGTGGACGTGGCCTGAGGCAACAAAAGCAGATATCACAGTGAATCAGCACTAAGGTGTGTGTGTGTGTGTGTGTGTGTGTGTGTGAGGACCCCCCAGGGTGTTTCCATCTCTTATTAACCATCCTTCTCAGTCCCCATCTAATATCCAGCTGACCTTTGCTTTTATTGCACTAATGTAATCTAGTGCTGTAACAGACAGCTGAAACAGTTGAACTAATGTGGTTACTCTCATTAGCAGCAGTACCCAGGGCTGAAAACGAAGAAGAGGAAAAAAAACAGCTTCATCTCACTTTGTCTTTTTCAGAGACATCACCAGGATTTGCTGCATTGTGAGCAGGCAGCACCTTGCCCCATTTTCCATCCAGTTGTAGATAGTACTTTTTTGATATCACCTCCAAAAGGTGACGTGAGAACACTACATACTACTTGATTGGTCAGAGGCAATTATCACTACTGCGTCAACCTGCTAAGCAACTGTACACCATGTATGTTATATTTCTGTTAGTTCCTGTGCTATACTTCTATATGGCAACCTGCAATTAACTGCCATGGTCAATTTAGGAGGTGTAGATGTTTCTCTGTTTGGTGTCCCTTTGATATCCTCCATTGTTTGTGGTTGTATCACATTGAAGATGATGTCATGATAGCTTCATGCATTGTTGCTCTAGAAACAACGCCGCATTGAGGGGCTTCTATCTTTTCTTTGCTCATACCATAGTTTTTTAACAACTGAGAAGAGACGCTCAGGTGGAGGATACATGACCAGAGGGAGACGCATGCTGGAAATTAAGAGTGTGGATGCCTCAAACAAAATGCTTTGGGAACCTAAACTTAAATGTCCCCTAATTTATTAGCTAAACATTCCCTGTTATCATAACACAGTCATTTTAATATGGTGGAATGCCATCTGCATGATAGGCCAACGCTTGAATTAACTAGTTTGTACAATGGGTGTGAGCATGTCTGAGGGCAAAACTGTTGAGACAGGTGAGAACGATGAGTTGAGAACAGTGGAACACGGAGGGGAAAGCTTGCCATCATAAAGAGGCAAAACGTAATTGTTGAAATACTGAACAGTGCACACTTTTGGACAATCTCTTCTTGAAGGCATTTACAGTGTTGCACAATCAAAAAATAATGAAAGTGGATGTGTGACTAATGATTAAAGGGAGCACATACACCTGTCACAAAAGTGGCAGTGAATTTTATCCACTCGTCTTCGTGAAATGTTTCTTTCTAGTAGCTTGGTGACTCACCAGCTAACTCGCAGAGCTAGCTAGTGAGCTACTGCAGCTGGCAAGCTAAATGCCAGTCACAATAGCTCTTCCACTTTCTTCTATTTTCTCTGTACTATGCTGTTTAATTTCCCTGTAATTTTGTTGTTTGTTTAAGAGGAGGGACAAAAATCTCCTCATGTCAGCATACTAACTGTTTGCTGATAGTCAGATAACCTAGCTTGTTGTCAATCACTACTGGGACAACAGGTTCGCAGTTTATTCAAGACCTGTTTGTATCTTGTTTAATTGCAGCTCATTGGATTTTTGTGAAGCAGTTTATACTCTGACAAGAGGTTAAATAAAAGTGGCTATGATAGCTTCCTCCAATTTTTTTTTTTTTGGGGGGGGGCATTTACAGGTAGTTGTTTACAGTGGTTGCACCACAGTTTTCAACCACCTTCTCAATTTCGCCACATTGACCATACACAGTTTCTTAAAGTGTTTCATTTAAGCATTTGACTTGTAAAAAGCCAGAAGGAGTGACTCTAGCTAGATGCTGCTCAGTTTGCTGACTGAGGTTTTCTGTGCCTTTGGTTCAATTCCCGGATGAGCCACTCTGTCAAAGCTTCACTGGAAATATTACCAAAACCAAAATCAGAATTTCTGGGGTGATGGGGGAGTTGATGGCTGTCTGGTTAGTGTTAGCGTAATGCATCAGGTCAGCAACACACTGCCTGAGGCGCACACTCGCTTACAAAAGACACACACTCTCAGGCTGGCTGAAATACAGCATCCACATTTTGCTGACCTACTTCCTGTTTCACTCAATTTACAGAATATTATCCAAAAATAACTTATCGTAACCATGACTACGAACTTGATGTAAGACCAGCTGAGTTTGTCTGAAGATGTCCCTGGTGTCAGCAGATGGAAACGCTTTACGTCCTGACTCCAGTTTAGCTAGTGGTGGCTCTGGTAATGTTGGTCTGTAGGTGGGTCCACAGCTTTGGTCCAGAATGAATTGCCATGACATTTGTTACATACAAATGGTGTAGAGATTTTTGGACAGCAGAGATTACTGAGATTAAATTGAGGAAACTACTTTAGAATAAAGTGTTGACAAATATTATGGTTAAGGATAAAACCAAGTGCCTGCATCGGTAGCTTTACATAGGATCTCTAGTTTTTTTGTAACCTCACACAATAATCATTGTTAAAAAAACATTTAAATTGTTCAACTTAAAGTCACAAATATTTATATTTCTAATGGAGAGCTCTGCAGTGGAGCCAATCTGTCCCTGAATATATGGAAAGTAAAACCAAAAAAACCACTTTGTTGTGTTTTTAGAGAGACAAATGAAAGAAATGCTGAATGAGTGATAGCATTGAGTTATAAGTAGAAGCTGGTGGAACAAAGGCTCAGATGTCAGGATTTAGGATCTCTAGACCTGCTAAACATTAGTGTAGTGTTTTTCACGAATAAATTGTTCAATAATTCCTTCCTCAAGAGTAGCATATAGTAGAACAGCTTTGCACATCACTACTAAACATTAGCATGTTAGCATTGTCACTGATGATGAGTCATGTTAGCCTCACCCCTGTGCCTACAGCCTTACAGAAGTGCTAGCATGGCTGCAGACCCTCAGCCCTGTTTCTCCTCAACCGTCTGTTTGTGTGTTGTTCTGCTTACAGTTTGAATTGAAAGGTGTTTTCAGTGAATGTGGTTTTACAGAGCAGACCAGTTAGTTTGACATGGTTCTTAACTAGATTTGGAAAGTTCAGCCTGGTTCTCCAGAGAAGGCAACTATGGAGAGTCGGTTGGTTCCACACTTTGATTCAAAGTGAAGTATCCAGATATGTTTCTGCCTGTAATCTCAGTGACAACAACCCCTGACCCACCACTGAATCGTGGACTCACCATCGCCGTGCAGGAAGACCAGCCCCAGCACCATGCACAGAGGGTGCAGGTTGAACTCCTGCGCTGAGCCATTCCAAGCGAAGCCCCCGCGGTAGTGACCCATCCACACACCGGTCAGCACCACAGACGCCAAGCCCAGCACCTGCGACGCTCCCACCAGCCACGCAAACATGGAGCGAACAGGACGAGGAGAAGAATCATCCATGATCTGAAAGGGAGAAAACAGATTAGTGAGTACAGATGATGCCTTGGGCTGTATCATTTATTGAACTAAATCAAAATGGATTCAATTAGAATCTTTTGAGTGGACAAAAAACATATTTGACATATTCATATTCTTTTACTCCGTGGTCCCTGCATCAAAGACAGGGCCAGAGAGCACCCAAGAGCAAACTTTTGCCCCCCAACAAATGAACCCATGACATGACAGAAAATCTGGATTTCAAGTTTTCATACACTAAACCATAAAAAAAAAATAAATAAATAAAAAAAAACATTACTGAGATCCAGAGACAAATCCAGCAGCACAAACCTACAGGATCAACAAGCTCTTGTGACACGATTCTCTGGTGGAGGTGTCGGAGAGGAGGATGCTCAGGCTAATGAGCATCATGGTCAGTACCTATCACCCCTTTCACGTGTTTCTGGATGAACACAGCAATCGATGTGACACCATGGCACTGGCGCATCACTTAAATGCCTCAGAAAATGCTTCATCCTCAGTCTGTAGAACTCATTGCTGGACAACTTGTACTATTATCATACGACTTATCAAACCCAGTCTCCTGTTTTTTTCCTGTTTGCCTATTTGCAACTCAATGCACCCTTTACTTGTTTGCTTTCCATTCATTCATCAATCCATATACTTTTTTTTTTTTGCATATTATTCAACCCTAATTATTACTGGTGCATTAACATGTAAGTAGCATTGTAATGTTGTAATTGGTTAAGGTGGAGCTAATTTTGATTTTTTTATACAATGTAGGATAGTTTAATCTACAACAATATGTGATATTTATTATCATGTATTTTATATGTAAAATATTAGCAGCTGTAGTAAAAAGTACGATATAGACCTATTGATATGAAGTGAAATGTGAGTATAAAGTAGTATAAAATTCAAATTAGTTACCTGAGTAAATACGTCGTTAGTTGCACTCTGATCTCTATTGACCTATATAAGATGTTATAAGCTACAAATCGAGTTTGATTTTCAATTATTGAATAAAATATTTTGAAAAAAAATGTAAATATGAAATATTATTGTTAATAATACTATTCAGTTGACAGGAGTAAATACTTTCACGATAAAATCCTCAGCTCTTTGAATATACGAGTGCATAATTGACTGTAAAGCTGCTACGCAGCACAGAGCTTACTCAGGATATAACTCTACACTTTTTTTTTATCACATTTTCTATCAGCCGCGGAGTCAAACAATGTAAACATGCCGTTAAGAAGACAGAGCAGGAAGTGTCGCACCGAGCTGACGGGATTTACAGGAGGCAGCAGAATTGAGCCAAAACCAAATGGTTTTTCTGCCTGCTCGCTTCATTATCGCAGCTAAAACCCATTATTACAACCTCAGCAAAGTTAATTATCCCTTCCGCTCCAGACACGTCTTTAATGCCGTTACCACACAGACACACACCGCCACAACTACAGGGATGTTACACAAAATTACAGGAGAATTAGAGGCTACTGTACAGCTTCAGCGCCAGCAGTGAGTTGTCACCTGTTACCTGGCACTGTGTTAAGATTTAACATGACTCTACAGTATATTTTTCTCCAGTGATAGGATATCATTTAATTTGTGCTCAGATGATGACACTAACATTAAAAAGCAGTTTCCACCTGGAGAAATAAACAGGGATCATAAACAGCGGGTGGTGTTAAATACTTACTGCGCCGCGGGCTCCGCTCTGCTGAGGAAGTCCTGGAGTCTGGACTTGGAGATCCGCCTTCCTCCTCCCTCTGACCGTGTGTGTGTGTGTGTGTGTGTGTGTGTGTGTGTGTGTGTGTGTGTGTGTTGGGTGCACTTCCAAACAAGCCCAACCCATGACTGTGGGGAGGAAATATACTACTAAATATATACTACTACAAATATTATACTACTACTATTATTATTATTATTATTATTATCATTATTATCATTATTGGCCTTTTATTATGTTTTTTAATATGTTGCTACATCTTATATGAAATTATGTTCTTACAGTAAAACATTGTTATGATGAACAGGAAGTGACTTGAATTGAATTTGACTCGTGATTTAGGCTAACGTCACAGTACCATCAAGAGAGAGGGGTGGGGGTTGGGGGGGTGGGCTGCGTGGATTGATGACTAACAGCTCCAGTGTAAAGGTTTGTTGCCTTGACAACAGTGGAGAAAGGGGATGGAGGAGGGAGGAGAGGAGGTGTGCAGAGGAGAGGGAGGAGGAGAAGGAGGATGGGAGTGTTTGTCAGTGAATAGCTCCTCATTAGAGGGGAAGCAGGCAAATACACGGTACCTATACACGGTATACAACACCTAATACCATACTACCATTACTACCTGAACTACTTCTGCTACTACCATTAACACTGGAGTGTCATAGGCCTACATGCAAATTTGGAGGCAAAAGCTCCCTTCATGTTGTCACCTACTGTTATAATGTATAGGCTACAGCTCTTTTCCACAGATCCATCAGCATTGACAATATGTGCTTTACATCTGCAGTCTCCAGTGCGTAATTTTACGCACGGATCAAGCAGTTGGTACCTTAATGCATTATTTAAGTCTTTCGACACAACTGGATTTAACGGTAATTGATCAGCTGTTGATACACAGTTACAGGTTGTCTAACTCATATTTTATGAGTTGGACAGTTTATAAAGTTTATTAAGTGAAATTAAATTTTTAAGCAATGACTATTTTTTATTTTAAGAAAATCTCCAAACCGCGTTTCATCTGGATAGAGCAAAATAAACGCGGCAGTGTCTGCAGAATCTTTACAGGGAGTATTTACATATTTTTAATTAAATAATGAGAATCATACAGTTGTGAATAATTAAAAAAAAAGGGAAACAGATTTTTTACTTCAACTTTGTGCACATCATAAGTTTTGTCTGCATTTTTTGCAATGTAATTTCAACACCACATGTCATTAAAAGCATATTACAAAAATTGTATAATAAATTGAGAGGCTTTATATTTATATGTGAAGTTCAGTATGTCAGTTTTATAAATATCAATAAACTGCGAATAAAGGCTAATATTGTATATAAATATAAAAGAGTAAACTGTATAATGTTTTCTAGAGAAATGTAGTGAAGTAGAATTAAAGAAGCATTAAAAGTACAAGTACGTCAGTATTTTACCTAAATATAGTAATTAAGAACATTTACTCAAGTAAATTAATCTTTGTAAGGGTAGTTAGAGTAATACAGCAATAACTGTTCGTGAACGTCCATGCACCATCCTTCCTCTCCTCTAGAGGGCACTGCAGTCTTGGTCAGTTCAGTTCATGGTTACACTGATGTGCAGCATTTAGTAAAGCAGCAGGATCAGTGGTGTTCACCCCGTGGTCCGGGGACCTGCTGGGGGACTTGAGGTCTCAGAGAGCAACACAGGAAGATGCAGAATCAGAAGTCCTCCTAAAATTGAATCAGGTAAAATTTCTGTTTCAGTTTTATTAAATCCATGAAACTTGGCTTTGATTTTAAATAGGAAGAAGCATGTTTGGAAATTGTATATATGGGTTTAACAAGTTTAAAAGTCATGCAGAATGGGAGCTCTGTATGTGTATGTGTGTGTGTGTGTGTGTGTGTGTGTGTGTGTGTGTGTGTATGTGCATGTGTCAGATCAGTTTCCAAGGCTATCTTCATTAATGTCAGAAACTGGCTAGTCATATATGTGTGTGCGTGTGTGTGTGTGTGCGTGTGTGTGCGTGTGTGCGTTTGTGTTCTCTTTTTTCTGTCTGACATTTCTGATTTCACCGGTGACTCACAGGAGGCTGACTCATCACTGCTCCTTTTGCAGTGTGTGTTTGAGTGTGTTTGAGTGTGTGTGTGTGTGTGTGTGTGTGTGTGTGTGTGCGTGTGTCTGAGCTACATATTGACATGTTATCCGTTCATCTTTTCTCATCATTATCTCTCTTTCTCTCTCTCTTTTCATCTTCTATTGTCTAATAACTTTTAATGACACCACTGAGCCCATTTTCACATCTTCATCCCAGTGTAATGATGAAGTGTTTGTCCCTGCTTCACTATGACTGGACACATTTCTACCTGTGTAGGTTTGAACCTGTGACGCTTCTATTAGTCTGAGATTTTACATCCACCCACTGGTGCAACATGAGGTCACAATTAAAGAAACATTGATTTCAGGCTGGAACATAGAGTAATTTTGATTTATGTGATTTCAAATGTCTATTTATTTATGTCTGGTTTATACACACACACACACACACACACACACACACACACACACACACACACACACACACATACATATATATATATATATATATATATATGTATATATATATATATATATATATAGAGAGAGAGAGAGAGAGAGAGAGAGAAAACTTACAAATAGTCCCTTTAATATGTTTTTTAAACCTACAATAATAGATTTTTTGGCCAATGTCGGGGCAGGGGAAAGAGGCTATAATAACAGTACAACCCTATGATTACCTTTTAAATTCATATGGAGAACTTGTTTAGCCTTAATTTAGCCTATTTACAGATGATATGGAGCCACAATAGTTTTCATTTGGACTTGTCCTACTTGGGACTTAATGAATGGAAGTCCAGTATTCATTCTTTTGTTGCTTTGTTTGTGGTCTCTATACCGGTGGCTCTTCAGCTCCTAAATGCTCCACGAAGTTCCCCAGCTAACTGCTAACTTTGTCTGTCTGTGGGCTGGTGCTGGGTAGCACACCAGAAAAACCAAAACAAGTAGTCAAATGATCACTGATGATACAAACATATTGATTACAGCCACTTTAATGTATCCGTTACTATTGCTCTTCATTGAACATAGATAGGTTAATAATGGCTTTGCTTTAAATAGAACACACAGTGTGCAGGTATAACTTTATTAATTTCATGACTATTGAGAGGAATAAGCAAGGAGGAGGAAATAAAAGAAAAGGAGAAGGCTGTGAAGAGAAGCTTTCAGAGGGTAATGAGATGTAATGGGATGACCTTTCACTTTCATTTATGTCAACCAGTCAATAGCCTTCTGTTCCAAAGACCTCTACCAATCAGTGAAGTCCTTTAAAAATACCCACGAGGCACCTGTGGAGTAGTCTGACTGAGGACAACGTCTCCATGGCAACAACATCATTACCAGAATAGCTCTTTCTCTCTCTCTTTCTCTCTATTTCTGTCTCTCACTCTTTCCTTCCTTTCATTCCACCTCCTGCTTTCTGTTTTCTAGCTTATTTTTCCTGTTCATGCAGAATATATCCTGTTTCCCTTCATCGTTCCTCTTCCCCCTTCCTTCAACCCCCTAACTTCCTTTCCTTCCTTCATCTCTGTTCCTGTTTCTCTCCTTTCCTTCATTTTTTCTTTAACCTCTCTGCTCAGTCACATTCTCCTATCTTCTTCCTGCCCTTTTTTCACCCAATCTCCTCCTCCACCCCTGGTTTCTTTCCTATCTATATTCAAGAGTGTGTCCTGTGCTTCAGTTTGAGCCCCTCTCCTCACATTGAGGCTGCTTCAGTGCGCTCGCGAAATTCCTGCTCTCAGATTTCTGCTTTCACTCTTGGATTTTTGTGCAATGACCCTGTCACAATTCCCCAGTCAAGGTTAGGTATGACGCCAGAGTCCACGCTGACCAATGAAATCATCACTGCCTCATTGCGGACACATTCGCTTCAATTCTTACAACGTCCCTTACGGGCGGTTACTGTTTAACCAGATTCATCCACTCCCACCCTCGAAGACATTATTATATGTACTTCACTTGTTTTCTTGTAGGACCTTTGGAGTTTATACATATTTTTTAGTTCCCTATAATTGCTACATATAATACTATCCCCACATAGACATATATACGTTGACGCCGGCCACTGGATCATACATCAACCTTTTTATGTTAATTTTTTTAATCGTCCCACCGTGCTTCTGTTAATGCTAGACTCTGTTCTCTGTATTCTTGAAGTGTATTTTGTATTTTTGTTTTGGAGCTAAAACTTGTGGCTGACTTTAACTTATGTGGTGCACCGTTTGTACCCATCGACCAGATTTGTTTTGAACACAGATGCTTGCGATGATGCAGTGGAGTAAGATTGACACCCATCTGGGAGTTGCAAATGCTAAAGTGGTGTAACAGAAAAATTATCATAAAGACATGGAAATCCAGCATCCATTATGATCCTTGAAAGTCCTATAGGAAATACAACATAACATATTTTCATTGGTTCCGTAAGTGTAAAGTTACGACAACTGACCTTTTGCCCTGCACTCTTTAATTACTGTAACTACACTTCTCGAGCTTTCCATAGCAAAGGACTTATGCGGTTTACAAAGAGAACAGTAGCAGATTTATCAGTTGACATTCGAAGTAATGGTAACATAGAGGGCACCAGACTTTTCATTTCTAGTCAGCAATCATGGATTTTGTTGGCTGAAATGACAACTGTCACTAGCAGTTTTAGTTAGGTATAGCTAGTCAGTGTACGATAATGCTAATGCTAATGCTAACGCAAACACAAAAAATCAAAGATTTGGGTAAAAACACTGTCACCAGCTGACTTTTTAATTTTTTGAGCTGCAAATCTGGACCCAGAACAAAGTGCAGTATATAGTTATAGTTATAATTTAATCTTCTTAGCTTCTTCTTTGCGTTTCGAAGGGGATCAAAACAGGCAGCTCAGTGGTCAAGCTAATGTGTCATTTAAATGCATATTGTAGGTTTCTATCTAGACACAGGTTTGTACTGTGCTTTCATTATTGACATTTTTTAATGATT